CTTTCTTTTGTTTATTATGTCCCCCCCCCTCTTTCTTACTTTACTTGCAATTTTGAATCTATTGTGCAGGTGTTTATGATTTGACCGCAAACCTGGAGGAGAATAAGTGTAGTATGACCTACATGTATGAATATCCAGAATATATACGGATTGATATGCCAGAACCTATAAGTCAGGTAAATGTCAATTTAACAAAAAAAAACTGAAAAAAAGACAAATACAAAAACATTTTGTAAAATTACCAATAGAAATATTTCTTGGCCTCGACATCTTATACAGATCTTGAATTCAAATTTTCTCTGTAAGGTTCCCATATTTATAGATTTTATTTTGTCCCTCGCTAAAGCTCGGAAAAGATAAAATTTCTGTCCCAACAACTCCTAAGCGCACTGCGAACCTTAATATTAGTCTCCAAAATAGTTATTCGCCAATTCTAAAACAATATTACACAATTATAAATATTTATTATTATTGCCCATCAGATCTGTGAATTTCACAAAATCAGCGTTCCACATGTAAGGGGGGGGGGTGGGGGTGTTGATTTTTTGGTATGAGGGGGTTTTGAGGGAGAGAGAAATGATTTTTTAAAATGTAACACAACTGACTCATTGTTTTTATTGATATTTTAAGTTTTAATGTTTTAAAAGAAGTTTAAAGTAAAATGTTCACCCATGAACAACCCTAATTACCTTGACAAAAAATCGTCGAAAATTGTTTGATAGAAATGAATCGAAAACAGTGTCATATCCCAACTAACCCGAAAACCTAAAAATACTAAAGCCTCTGTATATGTATACGCATTTTAGGTATACTTATGTAAAAATTTGTATGCTAAACTTTTTGGTAAAGAACTTGCGTACGTTTACATATTTTTACGTATTTATCATACCAAGCGGTTTTTAAAGTGCTTAGGTTTTCCAAAAACGTATGTTTACGAATTATTGCGTATACTTTTTACCAAGTAATTTTTTAAAAAGTCTTTGTTTTTATTTTACATATTTTTACGTTTTTTTCGTTCTTTTCGTTTTATGCGTATATTTTCGTAAATTTCATACCACGTAAATTTTCTAAGTTGTTAGGTTCTTATTTTACGTATTTTTTCGGTTTTTCTCTTTTGAAAAAAAATGTAATTTTTTTAGTGTTTAAAAGTTTGAGGCAAACCAAAAAATACGTATAATTTCGTAAATTTCTTAACAAATACCCTTTCTAAGTTTTTAGGTTTTTACTTTACGTAATTTCACGTATTTTTCGGTATTTTACTTAAAAAATTAAAAATTGTATTATTTAGAGTTTAAACGTTTGATGCAAACCTAAAAATACTTATATCTTCGTAAATTTCATACAAAGTAATTTTTTTAGGTTTTTATTTACAAATATTGATGTATTTTTTATAGTATTCAAACTATGAATTCTGTCAGGTCAAATAATCTAAGTTTGAAATATCAAAGGTTTATACCATCAATTTGCAGTGATATAGGGATTAGAAAATTTGAGTTCGTGACAAGAACTCAATCCCTTTACGGTTAAATACCCTCCAACCCTTTTGGTTTACATCTTCCTTAATATTTATTTAATTCTAAATGTATATTTTTAATTTAGAAATACCCAAAGTATGGTTTATACGCCTATGCAGAAGGAAAAATGGCGGAACAGGTGAAATCCGGGAAATTTAGCGGTATTCCTGTCGTCTTTATTCCTGGGAACAGTGGTTCCTACAAACAAGTTAGATCTATGGCCTCTGTGGCGCTAAGGAAAGCTTCATGTTATCGAATTCTTTTTTATTCTTTATTGAGTTCTGTATTGGATAATTTAAATTGCATCAATGATAACATGGTATGCGTCTACAGGAAAGCAATTGACGATTCGGAATATAAAACTCATTTTGACTATTTTTCTGTGGATTTTTCTGAAGAGTACAGTGCCATCTACGGAGGAGTTTTGGAACATCAGGCTGATTACCTACGCCAGGCAAGGGTCCATTTAATGCTATTAAAAATGTTGATTGATCGATTTGCGGGGCCGAAATTTATCCTGTTGTTGTAAACAAATGAAACCTATTTTCTTATCGTTTACCGCTCTCAATTACGATTTTTAGGACTTATCAGAAAATTAAAAAAGAATGATACATTTTAAAAAATTGTACAAGAGATGGAATTATATGAACCCGTGACACCAGTCTATAGCAAAGATCCTGTCTCTCTACCCCAAGAAGTCCAATAAGAATCCAACTTCAGTAGTCATCCTGGGACATTCTCTTGGTGGAGTTATTGCCAAAAGCTTGTTTTTAAATCCTGAATTTAACCCTTCTCAAGTTCAAGGTATATATTTAAAATAAAGAAAAATTGTTTTCGTTATAAAAATGTGTCTCAATAGATCAAAATAGAAAATACATAAACTTTAAATTTTCTTCTCAATTCTTAAAAATCAGGGGAAGTGACATATTTTATTTTATTTTGTTTGAACGATAATTAGAAAGATTTTAACTTCAAGGTTCGAATTTCTCTTGCAAGATTTTTACCACATTAATATTTTTTTTATACAGATTCTTCATATTTTTAATATCATTTAAGTGGTGATAACCCTTTCTACCCCTCACACTCCAGTACTAATTATGGACAAGCATACACAAGATTTTTATTCAAAGGTACAGAAACAAAAATAATTTTATTTTGTATAATTTTTTTCTCAGCTCTTTCTTCTATTTGATCTTTAAAATAGTTAAAAAATATCTTTTTTTCGACCCATGTAATCTATAAAATAAATTTAAAGATTGTCAATTCCTTTAAAGGAATTTATAAAGTTCTTGATTTTATGCAATTTATTCGAAATAGGAATGCTTTGATGAATATTCCGGGAACGAACTGAAAAACAAAGTTTTAAACAAAGTAATTGAGCCTTTGCCACAAACTGTGATCTAAAAACCCTATATATTTTTTACCTGATGGCGTTAACCTTTTATTTTTCAAACTTAGAACACTTGATCCAACAGAATGAACAGTTAAAAATATTTAGGGTCTTCGAAAATGCCATTGGGTTGCAAAGATATTGGAGTAGAAAATCATAGTTTGTGGCCAAGAGTCGATGCCTTTGTTGGAAGTTTTTTATGTGTTTCTTTAAATTTGGTAAAGGAGGGGGATTACTGTACAGTATACACCGCACAGTGTTCATACTTTATAATGTATTCTTGGCTCTAGGTTAACCAACTATGGGAAGAAGCGCGGAGCACAACATTGCGACACGTTACCCTTGTCAGTATAGGGGGAGGGGAGAGAGATCTGCAGGTAGAAAACGGGGGTTTTATTTTTTCAAACATTTTTAAATTATATTTTTATTTGCACTATTTTGACAATTAATTTATCCAATAAGGGAAAGGAATGAATTTTTAGCTTAACTTTTTTATGTTGGTGGGG